ATCAAAACCAAAATCCATCACACTTATCACATTTTTCTTAAACTGCACTTGTTTTAGGAGCAGCCAAGGAACATCACAGCTCAGTGCAGAATCCAAAGCTCAAATTCATGAATTCTTTCAATTTATGATATATTGCGTATTATGTTAAATTATTCATGATATGGAATTTTTAACATTAACTCCAGTTCGCTCACATTTAGATATTATAATATTAACTTTTTTTTTCTTATTTCTGCATTTCTCAATCTGTTTTAAGTCTGGACCCTAATAAAGGGGCATCTTGATAAATGTTTCGAATCCATGTATGTGAATATGAATGACAATTATATTATTTTAAGGGGGGCTGGGGATGGTATATTTTTATGTTTATAAGCCAAACCCAGACACACACTCACAGACACGGAGAGTTTGATATTTAAAACGTTGAGTCAAACAAATTAGTAGGAGGATAGTGAGAGTTAAGAATTCCTATTAAAGTAATATTTAGTTATTTAGGAACATGTTAATTAAGAAAATGATTTTGTTTGTTTTGGTGGCTGGAGAAAAGAAAAGGGCATGATAATGGAAGGTGCAGTCCCATGGCATGTGAATTTGATGGCAAGCCCCACACGCACAACTTCATGGCCCCCCCTCTCTGTTTCGTTTCTTTTGACTCTTCTCTCTTCTTAGTTCCTTTTCTTTCCCCTCTCTCAGTAAACTCCCGGATCCAAACACACACAGAGGAATAGGAATTGATATACTCTTTCGGTTTTAAATATAAAATCCTTATACTAATATATATAGGGGTTTTATATTTAGGACCGGAGGAGTATATATGTGAATTAGAAAGCAGGAGATATGAGAGTGAGACAAATATGAATACATATGTGTGCGTGCGTGGGAAGTTAGACTTTTCTTATACGGAAATTTAACGAAACATGGCATATAACCATAATATACTCTTCCAGTTCTTAATATAGGACCTAATTGTTGAGTTGATTCTGATCCTAAATATAAGACCTATTTCTCATGCTTATCAATTTTTCCTAAATTATCTCTATGGATACTCATCCAACTATAATTAAGTAGAAGAAGGAGAAAGATGTCAAAAGATGATTATGGTATTTTAGAAAAAACATGTCATATTTCTTATAATTAACTAACTTATCTAACTTTTAAATTTAATCAAATTAGTTAAATAATACTTTCGGTCCTTAATATAAGATCTTGTTTGACTTTTATTTTGGTCCTCAATATAAGACCTCAATCTATTTTTTTCTCATATTTATGTATTTTATTCCAAGATAATCTTTTTAATAATGATAGTTTTAGCCAATACACTTGATTAGCAAGGATATTTTAGGAAAGAGAACACCCATTTATTATAAATAACTAACTTAATATTTTTTCTTAATCTCTTCAAATTAGTCAACTAACTCTTATAATTAGGACATGAGGTACTAAGTCTTACCGGACGAGTATATATATGTGTCACCTTGATGTTAACGTTGAACCTTCTTCCCAGCTAATTCCCACAAATATGCTGTCTCTGAGGCACTATGCCTTGTGCATCAAGCATTCAGCTTGTCCCTTACTCCTCATTTGCCGGTGCTGACCTTCTTCATCCGCCAACAACCCACCCCAACCTCACACACACACACACACAGGGGTCAACCCCCCCCCCCAAAAAAACAATTTCCACTGCAATATATAAATATTGTTCTTTTTTATGGGGCCAAACTGAAAGAATATATAAATTGTTCAACAGAAATCGACTTAATTAACTAATCAATCTGAAAAATTAAAGCCACCAGCTTTATGGATGCCCACGGCACGCACTTGATATGCCGTAAATAGCATTCAGCTTGTCCCTTACTCCTCATTTGCCGGTGCTGACCTTCTTCATCCGCCAACCCCACCACCCCACACACACACACACACACACACACACACACAGGTCAACAACCCCCCCCCCCCAAAAAAAACAATTTCCACTGCAATATATAAATATTGTTCTTTTTTATGGGGCCAAACTGAAAGAATATATAAATTGTTCAACAGAAACTCGACTTAATTAACTAATTAATCTGAAAAATTAAAGCCACCAGCTTTATGGATGCCCACGGCACGCACTTGATATGCCGTACAATGTGAATGGATAAATTCTGCACTAATAAATCTTCAGCAACAACCTGGCTAGGGGGGAATTAAAATCAATGCTGTTTATTAATGTAGTGGCTTTGTGTGGTTTCTTTGTGAGAACACCAATAGTTCGCACTGACTTTTTGTTTTTTTAATGCGTCTTGGTCTTTTGAGTTTTAAAATTCAATATCAAAACCAGATAATGTGTCGGTCAAGGGATTTCTTGTCACAATGTGTAACCTAATTTTCCTGCTTCTCAACCCCCGCAATAAGAATTAGGCAAAACTAAACTTGTTTGTTATTATCCCAAGTCAAAATGGGTACTTTTTGCCAACAAACACTTCCATTTTATTCGCACTAATAACCTACTCTCAAAATTTGAATTAGTTTGATCCTTTTCATAAATCCTATATACTTAGGAATGTCCAAACAATAATATGTTTTAGCCAATTTTTCCTCTAATTAATTTTTTTCATTATCTCTTATCTTTTTTTCTCACTTCATTCTCTTTCATCGTTCATTTTATTATTAGTATTTCTCTCTTTTATTTGCTCCCATGTTAGGATATGCTCAAAAAATGTTGAATTCTTACATATTTATTGCTTTTAATTAATTTTGACGTAATTTAATTACAAGGATCTTATCAAAGCTGGAAGGGAGTATATCCGTGTTAATCACGTCCTTGGACGTTTAGTTTAGTGGGAGTAGTATATTAATTATAAATTCAGTTCCTTACCGAACTTGTTTTCTTGCTCTCATTAATTACACATATTAATGGTTTGGGCAACACACAGCTGATAACTAAGAATATCTACTGATGTTTCACATTTGTCACTTTCCTTGGTCCAGGAAACCGAGTAAAGCAGATGAAATTATTAATTTCTCTACCTTTTTCTTGCTTGCTTGCGTGCGATCCATGTTGACCATCGTTTATAATAACCAGCATTAGTATTTTTTTTAATTACCTTGAACTGTAGTATAATTCTAATTAAGGACGAGTTTCTGACCACAGAGCAACTTTTAAAATTGAGTGGACGGACAAGGGGACAAAAATTAATATTCATAGTTTTCCTATTTGGAGTAATATTCATTTTTATTTTAGAACAATCACATTTTTTTATGTGTAAAAAATGACCGGCGGTGATGATTTCCTTGTTTTTACATTGCGTTCCATGTTTAATATTTTTTTTTGGCCAAAAGAAAACCGTTCCATGTTTAATATTAAGTGGGAATCTGGGAAAAAAATATTTAGTTTGACAATTGAAGCTGGCGTGATGGTTAAGATTCAATCCTCCCGTTTCTCGTGGCCATGCATGAAGTCGTGATTTTAATTGAGAGAGATCAAGATTGAAAACCATGTAAAATAAAAATTTTAATCGGATAAAACTTAGAAATTAGAATTGTATATCATATTTAAAATCTCAGAAAGCCATAATACGTGAGTTTGAGATTATCACAACAGTATGATTTTTATTGAGTTTAATGCAATTTATATTCCAATTTTTATTCTCGTATCTCGTTGAATTCTGTTTTCATGCATGACCCCAGTATAAATTTGACAGTTCTTTGTTTCAAACTTTCCTTGTAGGTATTTCCATGCTTAACTCTAATAAGTTAACGATTTGACAAGACCGCGATCTTAATTCCAAACCATTGGATTTGTCTGGCATGCATTATATGTGGTTGGTATATTTTCCAGTTTTTGTCCATCAACAACTACGTGACTTTTTTTCCCCCTAAACAAAAGAAACTTGCTATTATTATACATAATTGCTGGATCACATTATCATGATTTAATTTGACTTGAAAAATTTAATATCTTATGTGTTGTTTAGCTGGATAAAAGGTTTAGCTGTAAGGAAATGGTCAGGTCTGATTTTTCGTTTATATATAAACGTCAAGATTTTCTCACTCGAATTGGGTTATATAAACTTATTAGTCCAGCGATTGAAGTAGTCTTTAGATTTGAACTTGTTCTGAAATTTGTGAACTTGTATGTACTTCAGGAGGAAAATAATGTTCTTGTTGATTAAAAAAATATACACGAAACTTTCCCATATCAGAGACAAAGACCAAGAGCTTCCGGAATTGATATATTCAAAATAATCCTTTTTTCCAGATTAACTGTATGAGTGCTGATTCATCCATTTCCATGTCACCGATTTAATTTTAGAAAATTCGTATTGAGTTGAATTGACTAATTTTTTTCTTCAAAATATAAGACCCATTTTTTCTAAGTCTCTGTTACTAAAATTTTTGCCCATACTTTATAATTTTTTATTAGCATAATAAGATACTCACCAGCTGAACATTTTGAATGTACATTATTCTCCCTCTTTTTGGCTCAAGCCAACTCTGGTAATTTTTTATGGACCGCATTTGCGCGAGTTAATTTTACTATCTTTTGCTTATCGGTGGACTTGCAAAATATTCTATTTACATTAAAATAGGACATATATTAATTAAATTTTAGGAATAAAAATAAATATATTAATTAAATTTAATATACAGAAAGTATAATGAAAATTCTAAAAATATGAAAATTTGATTCGCAAACTTTCGGCCAATAGAAAACTGAGCATGGACACAAATCAAAACTGGTGTGAATTATAGAAGAGTTGGGCTTCCAGAATAAAAAGGCCCATTGTGAGGTGCTACATGGGCTGACTTAGTTCTTGCTCATGTGCTTTGGGCCCCTTGAAGTCTAAAATTTGTTTTATCTGAAAACGAAAGATTCGTTGACGACAAACGCGCCTCAAGATAAATGGCGCCAATATTTGTCCGCGAAGTTCAAAAAATTTGACGCACAGCGTCACATGCCACGCTTCAATTCATAAGGCAATGACAAACGTTTTGCGCTGCGCCTCTCCTCTGAGCTGAGCCTGTTGAACGGCGGAAGTATTTTGATGGATTCATTCCTGAGTCTTCCACATCGTAATTCCCAGGTACCAACCCTCCGGTACTACACCTTGTTTCTTTCTCAAATGAAACAGATTTTCCCTTTCCGAGAAAGTGTCAAGAGAGAAATCCGTTAAGTTCTTCTCACTTCTGAGCACAACTTGTCTTATCCCCATCATTTCTCAGCTGCCCAACACAGTATTGCTATGTCCCTTTTTCTCACTGTATTTTATTTTTATTGTTCTAGGATCCCGCTACGTCGTTCTCGCTTTCGCTCCCTTCTGGTTTGTATCGACTTCTCCAATATAAATTCCCGAATGTTGTTCGCTTTATTACTTCTTGATTGAACATATTTATTTAGGAATGAAATGAGAATGGAAGTTGGGATTCTTGAAGCTTTTGTATTCGAGTTCATATTGCACCCTGAGATATGAAAATGAATTTCATCTGCATATGTTGTAACTCTATTGTTCCTTTTTTTTTTTTTTTGGGTGTCTCAGAGCCTCCTGACGTTGGGAATTGGTTCTCAAGCTATGAATACAAATCTCCCGATCCGGATTCAAATGTTAATTTTGAAGACTCTGCTTTCCAAGGGTGCGAATCCGAAAAGGATGAAGAGAGGGAGAAAGAAGAAGTAAATTACCCAAAAATCAGGTCGGACGACGAGGTGGTTGCCGAGGAGAAGCTATCAAGAACAAGTACTTATTTTGGAGATGATAAGCATAACGAAGACCAGTCTTTGGCGAAGGTGGGTTTTCTTCTCTCTTTCTGAATTGGAAGAAGAATTATCTCTCTGTGCTACAATTAATCTAAAAACAATGGAATTTTCATTTCCCCCCTTTTAGCCGAAGGATCTGGATACTTTCAGCTGCCTCTCAGCACTCCTTTCAGGTTCGTAATTTTCCATCAGTTTTTCCTTATATCCAAGCAGAGGATGCAAAGTGACCGAATTCCAATTGTTAACTGTAATTTTTTTTTTTGGGGGGGGGGGTCTATTTAGAGCCTCCTGATATCAGAAACTGGTTCTCGAGCTATGTTTACGAGTCTCCTAGGTCTGGTACGAGCAGCTATTTTGAGGATTCTGTTTCATCAAAAGAGAATGGACGTGAGGAATTGAATCTTGTTATTCGAGAAAAAGATGAGCATAAAGTCAGTAGTGATAACGTTGACACAGAAGAAGACACAGGCACGGGGGCAAATCAGTTGTCAAGCAGGGTACCTACTCTAAATCTCTCTTTAAATCTGTCATACAATTACTTGGGCAATAATAGTCACTCATGAACGGCTATGCAGCCATGATTTAAGTGCCAACAAGGATTTCCTTATGAAAACAATAATTTTGACCATGATTGGCACATAATCTTTATGTGCAATTTGTGTTTACTTAGTTCTTTGAGGATTTAGGAAGTTGGTTGGCCGGACAAAAAAGAAAAGAGGATTTATTAAGTTGATAGAGTCTGATAAACAAAGCATATATATTTTTGTTTTTTGAGTTTTCCACAGCCTTTCGTTGAAAAAGAAGTGTATTTACAACTTATGTAAACTTCAGGTAACCTCTTTCTGGCCCAAAACAAATCTTCAGTTTACTGAATCTAAGGAGGTTGAAATAGGAGAAAAAGTATAGTACTCATTTTCTCCTCCATTGAACAATTAACAAGGAGCTGATCATACGAGGAGAGGGTATGCCCCCTTAGCTTCCTCCGTCATTTCAATCTGTTTATACATAGTTTGTAAAATAGAAAGGTTTAATTAACATACGAATCCAAGTAAACTAAATGTCTCTAAGCCATATTTACATTACTAATTTTCTTGTTTTAATGAAGGAAAAGGCATGTTTTGCCAAAACTTCCCATCTGGAAAAGGCTGTGGAGCCATGTAAACAGCAAGATAGACCGTCTCAACATAATGTGAATCCAATCAGGTACGAGGAGTCGATGAGCTTGAGTCATGGAAGTGATGGGTGTAAAAAAGAACACACTCTAACGTTGGACATGGGCAAGAATTGTACGAGGACTCCAGATTCGGTACACAACACTGATATGAAAGAAGCTACGTCAAAAAAAATGATCAAACATGAAAATCGTGGCTCGAGTGCAACAACTCCACCAAAGGTATTCTCAGAATGGAAGTCAACTCGCTCAAGAGAGAAAGAGAACATAGATATGACGTCAATGAATGGTTTTGTGACCGCAAGGAAGAACAGGGACGGTGGAACAAAAGACGAAAATTGTGGGAAGGAGACACAAAAGAAGTCATCATCCGGTTTAACAAAAGGGGGAGGAGATTTTACGGCATGCAAGAAGGAAGGCGACATGAAGAGAAAGGCATTTGCAGAAGTAACAAATATTGAAGTATGTAATGACATGGAGGTTACAGGGAAATGGAAGTGCCCTCGGAAAGGTAAACCAAACGTTGGGCCTCCTCTGAAGCAGCTTCGCCTTGAGCAATGGGTTCATAGAAATTGAAACGTTTTCATAGTTTGTCTGGAAATGTTTCATAAACACCTGTCCATTTTCAGCTGCTGTATGCCGTAGTTTACAAGCAACGCAGCAGCAATAGAGTTCGATGTTTGTGCTCCATGTTGCTCTTCAATACTGAGACTTGAAGACAAACAACAATCCTCAGTTTTAGGTAACTAATGCCATTATCGTTATCTGGTTAACATAATACCAAGCACTATCAAACTAATTCTGAAGTGTCATATTTAAATAAAGGTAATATTCGGTGAAATAATCAGGCTCGACTGCACTTTATGTATTGTCGTGATAAGAAGGAATTTCGTGATCATCCCAATACGGGCGATCCCTTATGAACCTGCTGGTTCTATCGTATTCGGTGCCATTGTGAACTCACCCTCGATCCTTTCCCCAAAACTCCGACCCCATGAGATGTACATTGAGCAGATCTGTTGGTCGGGAACACCCCAAAATTTCTACTCCCATTCACAAGCTTTCGTGGGTGAGCTTTAAAAAGAAAGTCACGTCCTACAAAGACTACAAACACTGTTCTCAAAAGCCATTTTGTAATTATGAACATTTATAAATGTCAAATCAGTACCCAGTTTAATATGAGATATTGCTTTTCACAAACACTTATTTGAGTTTTTACATATTTGAAGGTATTTTTCTATCTTTTTTTAATATTTTTTTATATAAAAAGAAAGGAGGAGATATTATTCTTTTTTTTTTTTTTTGGACTCGGAGATATTATTCTTTTAGGCTCCATACCAAACCCTTCCTTGAAATTGGGACCGCCCGTGAATAAATAAAGGGGGACGAAAGAAAACTCTGACAAAAGGTCTTACCCAAAATGGAAAACTAACGATTTCTCAAAAAGGAAAAAATGGAAAAATTCAGATGAAATGAAGAACTTGAACAGCTTCATCCAATAATGTCGGATTTTTTAATGCCATTGTCGTTATCGTGGGAACAATAATAATGAATTCGTTGTCATTTTTAAATAAAGGTCATATTCGGTGAAATAATCCGGCTCCACTGCCCTTTCTCCATTATCATGATAAGAGGGAATTTCGTAATCATCTCGATATGGGTGATCCATTTTTTAAATTATTATTAGTAGCAGCAGTAGATGAACCTGCTGGGTTCTATCCTGTTCGGTGTCATTGTGAACTTGCTCCCAATTCTTACCCGAAAACTCCGACCCCAAGAGATGTACACTTTCAGGGCATTAAGCAGATCTATTGGTCGAGAACACTCCAAAATTTCCACTTCCATTCACAAGCTTTCATGGGTGAGCTTCGTAGCCGCATCTCAGCAAACTGATGCCTGCACTCCCAATCGATGGCACCCTCATTACCAGAGTCGAAGGACCCTCATTTTGGAGCCTTTGGGTTCTGAGTATGTCAAGCTTCAAAAACTTGACGGCTCCGATTCTGGTATCCTTCTCTACCAAACATTTTTGTAACTTGCTACTTCTGTTTATAAATTTTTGCTTTCCCTCCTGATCTATTTCAGCTTGTGGGTGAACTTCTCATTTACAGGGATTGTTGAGGTTACATTGGATAGGCCTAAAAATAAGAACGCCATAGACACTAAATTGATGAGAGGCTTAAAGTATGTATTGGAATTGATTCATCAGGACTCATCCGCTAATGTTGCTATTTTCACTAGTTCGGTTCCAAGGGTTTACTGTGCCGGGGCTGATCTTAAGGTAACTGGTCAACTTTTCTTTCTCATCTCAATAAGATAAAATTGCGATGTTTTAATTTCTTCTGTGATTTAACTTCTCTTCACTGCACTCAGAAATTGTCGCAGTGAAAGATACCTAAAAAATATTTCTTTTCTTTCGTATATGTAAATATAGTAGAACCGTGTGCTTGTCTTATAACTGTATGTCTATGGGATTCCAGGAACGCAAGACCTTTAGTGCATCTGAGGTTCGGGAATATTCGAAAGCTCTTCGTGCTACATTCTCTTATCTAGAGGTTTGTCTAGATGAGTCAACTATATGAATTCTAATAATCAGTTTGATACATGAATATAAATGGCAGATGTAACATCCCTTTCATTTCTATGTTTATAAGTGAATTCTATCATGTATTTTCTGTGGTTTTACTCTATATCTGTCTTTGCATCTTGGTAAACTCGCAAAAGTAGCATAAAAATCGCAATTCTTTATGCAGGCACTTCCTATACCAACTATTGCTGCAGTTGAAGGTGCAGCATTGGGTGGTGGACTTGAGCTCGCCCTTGCATGTGATTTTCGTATCTGTGGTACTTCAATATCTAACAGATAATTTCTTAGGCATTAATTTGTTGTTAATTGGTTTGAGTGCTTGGAATGGAATGCATCTAATTGGCACTCATAATTCTTTTCCTTTCATGACCCAGGAGAAGATGCACTCTTGGGTTTGCCTGAAACTGGACATGCTATAATCCCTGGGTATGCTATCTCTGTATCGCTGTAGTCATTGGTCAATTGTAACATTTTATCTGATTTATTATGCTCTCTTGTACTAATGGTTTAAAAAGAGAACTGCAAGATATCTAGTGGGGATTGGAAAACATACCGTGTTACTAGGCTGACAAATGAACAAGTACGTAAAGAATTTGAGATGCTTATAAATTTTGGGTTGAAGGTTAATTGGTCTGTTTAACTCTGTATTATAGCCTCTTGTTATACTCACTGCTGGAGCCTACTTGAATTTAATTCAATAATAGCCCGTCTATAAGCAAATGTGATGAGTCTTGGCATTTAACTGCAGCGTCCGGTTTCATGGTCACCTTTAAGCCTCAGTTTTCAAGCTGTGGAATGGTTTTGAAACCCGAAAAGCCACTAGTATAGTGGGTAAAGCCTGGTTGAACAAAAATGTTAATTTGTCTGTACGGTAAATAATTAGGAAAAGGGGCAAGTGATATTGAAGAGAAAGTAGGTTAGAGCGATTGGAACAGATAAATTTATAATGGAATTGTGGGGTAAATGACAGGGCTGGAGCCACAAGAAGATTACCCAGGCTAATAAATAAGGCAATAGCAAAGGATCTGGTTTTGACTGGAAGAAGAGTTGGAGGCAGAGAAGCAGAATCTCTGGGTAAGCTTATTTCTAGAACCTAACTCTAAATTTTTGCTCTGATCGTTTGAAGGATAAGCCATTAACAAATGCACCATTCCATGACTTTGTAGGGCTGGCAAATTACTGTGTTCCTGCGGGGGAAGCTTATTCAAAAGCACTGGAGGTTGCCCGGGTCATCAATGAAAAGGTACAAGGATGAGAATGAGAGAGTGGAATGAAAGTAATGGAAAACAAGGAGAAAAAAAAGGTGATGATTGATGAATATTAATTGTGATTGTGGTGTTGGTGGTGGTGGTGCAGGGTCCAATAGCCATAAAGGCTGGAAAAAGAGCAATAGAGGAGGGACTGTTGGTGAGTGATCCAGAAGAAGCGGCGGATTTGGAAGAAGAATGCTACGAGATGACGTTGAATACCAAAGACAGGCTCGAAGGCTTGGCTGCTTTTGTTGAGAAGCGCAAGCCTATCTACAAAGGCCATTGACACACGGAATGAATGATCCCATCGTATCCTCAATTTAATAAAATTGCCCCACTTTGCAAACTATATACATTCATAAAGGGAACACTTTCTTTCACCGCAAAAAAAAAAAAAAGGGGGAACACTTTCAACCGGAAAATTATCAACCTCAGATTCCAGTAACCGTCTTGAGGTTATAAAATTAGTTTCTTCTTTACCACCCCCCGCCCCCCAAAAAAAAAGTTTGGATCTTACAAAGCATGAGTGTATATGCATTACCAGCGAAGCATAAAATGTTAACTGCATTTTTAGTTTCATTCTCTAATATATGCCTAACGACGTTGCCTGTTTGACTGCTCCAAGCCGTCTGCTTTCAAAGTTAATACTTTCTCTAATTCTAATTATAAGACCTCGATTGTAGTCTACAAATGAAGTCTTATAATTAGAACCGTAGGTAGTAATTTCTTTTGGTAACCAAATGTTTGGAGTTGGGTTAATTCAGATTTTTTACCTAGACCATTGCTTGTTGGTGAAAACTAATGCAAGAACTGGTCACAAATGGGTCCGCTAAGATCAATAGTTACCGGTAAAACTAAAAGTTTCTTTGTCAACTATTTATTGAATTCTCAAACACATTAAGCCGGTATTGTTTAAAAACAAAAAATTAGAATTCTTATATTAAATTAAAATTTTCATGATCAGATTATCCAATAAAAATATGATATCATGACTTGGAATCATAAAAACCCTCCCCAAATACGTACAATTTTATTGATCCGTGCTATTTTTAATTTCTAATGGCTGGCTCATAACGTCATTACTTGGGCTGAGCATGTCAGCCCTCCACTTGCTAAAAAATGTGGGGAAAACAGAAATGGGTTTTTATCGGTTTTGGTTTCTCGGCCCCATATCTTTAAGGCCCACGCGTAACAACAGACAATGGCCTATAAATTCAAGGCGAAACGGTGAAACACTGAGACGAGCAAACGAAGTGAAGTTCCAGTCTGCGTGTAAAATTTGCTTTTGGTTCTGCATACGAAAGAGCACTTGAGATGGCTGCAATAGACGAAAAAGCCTCTGCTAAAAGATGGCTTCCTCTCGAAGCAAACCCTGATGTGATGAACCAGGTGCTCTTATCGTTCTATTTTATCCTTTTCAATGCTTCAATTCAAGCTTCTTTTTTATTTTTCTTTTAAGATGATATTGTCCGAGTGCAGTTTTAGCTCGTTTCTTGTTATCGCGAAATTTGAAACTTGTATTATGTTTTTGTTTCGTTGTGAGATTTTTGGTTCGCCAGTAAATTCTGAGATTGATGTTCAATAAATTCTTGCGAAAGATTGAGCGTATTTCTTGTTTCGAGTTTCGACTTGGATCGCTGTCTCATAGCTGATAGGCCAGTAGAAGAATCTATGACTATTTGGACTTGAAAGCATGATCTAAGCTTTAAAAAAGAAAAAAAAAATGAGGCTAAGAAAATTTAACTTCATTATTATTCACCTTCATCGTTATTCCTCATGGATGTTGTGTAGCAACTTAATGACATACTCGGATTGGAATGTAAGAGAATTATTCGCTTTGAATCTGCGACCCTGTTACGTTTTCTTTGTCATTGATTCCCCTGATTTTACTAAAATACAATTTCTTGCATTACGTTCTCTTGATATCAAAAAAATATTATGATTAAAGTGAATTAAGTGGGAGGGTTTAAGGCACTTTGCTGGAGTTCTTAGACTCACTCCTTGTGCCTTTCTGTTTTACCAAAAAATGGGTAGATTGATTGTGTATTTGATTTCAATGATTTGCAGTTCCTATGGGGACTGGGCCTTCCAGGAAGCGAGGCAGAGTGCTGTGATGTGTATGGTCTGGATGAAGAACTACTGGAAATGGTTCCCAAGCCTGTACTAGCTGTGCTTTTTCTTTACCCCTTAACCTCAAAGGTGATTTTGATACAGATCAGCCCTAAGCAAATAGTTTCAGTTAACGTTGATTATATTTGTACTGCATTGGACACATTTTAATGAATTATTTCGCCTGCTGATTCGAGGTTAATTTCATTTCTGATCAGACTGAGGAAGAGAGGTTGCAACAGGAAAATGAAAAAAAGGTGAGTGAATAGATCTATGTATATATGCTTTCTCTAAAAACATACGTTCTGTGACATTGGACCTGTCGTTTCATCTAACTTCATAGTATTTATTGTCCGTACTTGGAAGAGTCGCATTTATTGTTTCTCTGCCGTGCATGTACACCGGTTTACATGTTCCATTACCTATTAAAATAACTTGAGAAGCCGTACTTTTGGGTGGCATGTATTGTGCTGTTGGTTTTGATTTCATTTGAACTCTATATGCTTTAATTGAAACCCTTTTGTTCTATTCATGTAGGAACACAGCACTAAAGTATATTTTATAAAGCAAACTGTGGGAAATGCTTGTGGTACTATAGGACTTCTTCATGCTCTTGGGAACATAACATCTGAGATCAAACTTAGTAAGTTTGCAATAACTAGGCTGCCTCCGTTTAAATTTTTAGTTCACCAACCTTTACTTCTCACCAACTGATATTTCTTATTGGTGTTGCTTATTTCAGCTGAGGGATCGTTCTTTGATAGATTCTTTAAAGCTACTACAAGCATGGATCCATTACAGGTTAGACGGTCCCCCTTACCCCTTCTCTGTTTTCCACACAGCCACTTATGTAGGCGTAGACAGTTGATAAGATAATATTATGATTATTTAGCATTCACTGACTTTTATATCATATAGCGTGCAGCATTTCTTGAGAATGACAAAGAAATGGAAGCTGCTCATTCAGTAGCTGCCACTGCTGGTGATACAGAGGTAATTAATTGACAATGCAGTTATTTATGATTGATGTTCATGTCCTCAAGCTAATTTGTTTTTCTCCTGTATTGTTGCAACTTGTTTGCCACTCTTGTTATATTAATCTTCGGATGTGATAAGGTAATTATTAACATCTGAAAACAATGCAAGTTGCTTTGAGTTTTCTTCTGTGATTAGAGATCTTGGAAGTTTGGATCTGGCAATTTAGGGCAGGATATTCTTAGTTGTGTGGCAGAGTGCTACTGGAATAATGGATTTTCAAACAGGTTGAAATAGTCTAGAAAATATTAGATGGTTCACCCCGGGAAGGTTGATATATCCTTTTAGTTTTCGTCATACTAAGGAAGGAAGAATTCAAATGAGTTTAAACAAATAGCAGTTAGTCAAGGTTGTGACAATATGGTTTTAATTTGAAGTGAGTAATAGAACTTGTTTGATTAATAACCATTTAATGTTTTTCACTCTGCCATAGTATGATAGTTTGCTTTATGAATAGTGTAGGAGAAGCCTGTGTGTGTGGAAACAATATAGGTTCTTGTTTCAAACTTACAGGGATTGAGAAAACTCTTTTACGTAAATAATTGTCTTTCTCTAATGAATGAAATGAATGCAAGTTGGTTAAGACACCTATCGTTTATTATACTCCTACGGTTGCCTCTCCATGAAAACACACTCTATTCTTTATCTCAAGCAAGACATTATGCTCCTCATTTTTCCACCAGAGAGTATGGATAACCAGGGAAGGTGAAATGTTAATTGAATATACTGATGCTAGGCTCTCAAGTAAATTTTTTTGTCTGATCTTAACTTTTTGCTTTTAATTTTTTTATGCAGGCATCAGTTAATGTGGATACTCATTTCATCTGCTTTGCTTGTGTTGATGGTACTTTCTAGAAGTTTATTTTATTTGTATTATTAGGAAGTGAAACAGAATGCAATTCCTAACTTATTGACTAATTGATGGAGACTTGGTACTATGGAATACCAAGTCTTACATTTAGTAGTATGGAATACTCAATGAGTATTCAAGTTTGTTGGTTCTCCCACCTCAATAGCTAGCTTGGGGGTAGGGTTCTCCATCAACAAGATACATATTAGTAAAGACACAACTGGAATAGAAGAATCATAAGCAACTATAATAAGATCTCTTGGATTCATTTGTATCTATATGATATAAAATGTACAAATTACTTGGGATCCTCTGTACGTCTTAAGATTATTTTGGATCTTTTTCATCATGCCTTTCTTCTTGATGAGTATTTTGTGTTAATTTATGAGCAAATCGTGTCATATGCAGGTGAACTTTATGAGCTTGATGGAAGAAAGTCAGGACCTATATCTCATGGTCAGTCGTCACCAAATACTTTATTGGAGGTAAATATCATGGCGTCTAAAAACCAATCTATCTTTGTTCTGTTCTTCCCCTGCCGAAAGTTTCGTATTCAGGAAAGGATGTAGTTTACTTGCCAAATATTTTTAAATCATACTACTCTGGTCCTAAATATAAGACTTCTTTTGTAGTGGAATTTACACTATAAAAGAGGTCTTATATTTAAGACCGGAGAGTATTATATAAAAACTCGTGCAAATATACAAACACACGAGACAAATTTATTTTTGTCTAGTGAGAGGGCTCTGGATTCTCACATGACATGAACTCACACACACACACACTCTAGCCACTTGGGTATAAGCCCACAACCTCCTCTATGAGAAGAGATGTGAAATGCCATTTGAGGTTTTAAGCTCTTGGCTCATCTTGGTTAAGTCTTCATCACTGGTAGAACACGGTGTTATGGAGGATGTGTTCAATTTCTATAACTGGGTGAAAAATGACTCAATTTTTAATTCCTAATCTGTTGCTTGTGCCACAACAGGATGCAGCTAAAGTCATACAAGGCATGATCCAGAAAAATCCTGACTCTCTTAACTTCAATGTCATTGCCATTTCAAAGAAAGCTGGAGATGGAAAGTAAGGATGTAGGTGCAGGTATCATGGGTAGGGTTGAACCTATTTATAAGTAGTCTTTGATGTTATCCTCGGCATTTCAAGGAACTCTTTACTCGCTTTGGTTTTGCATGTACTCAGATTGTGTGTTTTCATTTATGATGATCAAGCATGATCACCACCTTCCTAACGATTAGTGCAGTGCCTAGTGATTGGACGAGAGGAACCTATGAATGGTATTTTAAAAGGCAACTTACCAAGCGGGAAGAGTTTTTTTTTGTTTTTTTTTTGTTTTAAAAAGTGAACTGGTCCACAGTCGTTTGGAACAAAAATTGGCCGAATTATTATTATTATTCTTCCGGGAGAGGCAAGAAAAAAACGTAGGCTCAAGCTACAAGCCAATACGCCCAAACTGTAAATCACAACTCCGAAAAGGTTTCTACAAATTAAAGGAGGATTTGCTAAAGTCACAAACTCGTGATTATATCATGTGCAGATTAAGCAGGTCATTGCACGGATTGGCCGAATTATTATTTTCTGACAAGTATAAAAACTCACTCTCAAATAACTTACTTTTCTGGAGGCTAGGGGAAAAAGCTATTTTTATTTTTCTGTATTAGTTATTTTAAAAATATGTTACAATTTGTTTGCTTGCTGGCCAATACGATCGCAAAAAAGGGGAGAAGTCAGAACGCTCAACAAAAATTGGAGAAACGGATTCTACGGCTTTTTTGGTTGGGGCTTTTGGACAAAAACAAAAAGAGGGACTCCCCTCCCCTTAATTCTGTCTCCTAAAAAGACTTCGCTCAAAAGCGAAGAGCATAGCTAACGGAGCAAAGATAAGAAAATGCAAAGAGAATAACAAACCAAAAAAAAAAAGGGGGGGGGGGGACGACAATGACAACCATGATGAGTGGCAGAATAAAAACCCAGTGAATGAACAAGGAAACTGCCATGGACCATCACTCCATTTGCTCTTCTCAAATACTTGATGTGAAATTTAGCCAATTTATTCCCCGGAAAAAAATAATTTAGACATTTTTGTTACTCATCATCACCTGTCTCATATTTGGGTCTTTAGGAAATCACAATTGATAAAAAATTTTAAAGAGAATTGTTATATTCTTTGAATCTTTTGACTCATTCTTTCTAAAACAGTTTTACTAGATATAATCGTTGTCCAGTTAACGAAAAGCATTAGGAATTTAGGATAGAACTAAGGAAAATGGTCGTATTGAGAGAGAGAGAGAGAGAGAGAGAGAGAGAGAGAACTGGGGAAACTGGTGAGGCCGTGAAAGCTTAAACGCATGGTTTGGGGAAACATAGATACTCATTGTGCGTGTGTGTCACTAAAACAAATAATATTATTAAATTAACACCAGCTCTTACCAGATCAGAGAAGTTTATTGCCAAGCAGACCTTGCTGAACAACAAAAAATATAACCACGTACAGCGAAAAAGCCGTGCACGTCAATAAAACAAACGGTCAACTGTAATGATAACCATTATTAACATCATGAATAGAAAAATCCTCCGATGAATAATGTTCGTTGACGATAACAAGCAACTCCTTTACCGCAAGAATGTCTGCCACCGGACTCCTATTTCCATGGCTGCGACCCGCGAACTGTCGAGTAAAAGGACGAAGGTAATGGAGGACTTGGAACTTGAATGAGGCCTTCCAACATTTGCATCACAGTCTTCATGGTAGGCCTTATTTCTGGATTCTCTTGAATGCACCATATTGCTATCATCACCCATTTCTTCAACCTCCCTATATCAGCAATGGCCTCCTCGTCACTCTGTACCAGAATGTCAATTCTTCCCTCCATATAGCAATCATAAGCCCAATCTGTCAGTATCGCCTTGTCTTCCCCCACTTTATCCAGATCCATCTCCAAGCTTCTTCTGCAACAAATTATCTCTAGCAGCATCACGCCATAGCTATAAACATCCACCTTAGCCGTCACCGGAATACTCTTGAACCATTCCGGTGCTACATATCCTCTGGTTCCTCTTATCATTGTGTGGGTTCTGCTCTTATTAGAGTACAACAACTTGGCCAACCCAAAATCTGAGATTTTTGGCATGAAATTCTCATCTATGAGAATATTTTGGGGTTTTATATCACAGTGAATGATGGGAGTCTCGCACTCTTCGTGTAAGTAAAGTAGCCCTCTTGCAATTCCCAAAGCAAGGCTAACCCTTAAATTCCATTTAGGTTTGGGCTGCCTGAAAAGGATGTCTGCAAGTGTACCATTGCTCATGAACTCGTATACCAGAAGTCTATGAACTCCCTCATCACAGAACCCAATCAGCCTAACCAAATTTCTGTGGCATGTTTTTCCAATAGCACTCAACTCAGTCCTAAATTCCTTCTCACGTTCTTGAGCTATTCTATCCAATCTCTTCACCGCAACAGCAGCATTAGTTCTTGAGTTGAGGGTGCCTTTGTACACAGTGCCAAATGAACCCCTTCCTACTTCTTCATTAAACCCACTCGTTGCCTCCTTCAGTGCTTCAAATGTGAAAGAGTGCATGTTTGTTTCTACAGGACTTGAAACCTGAGCATTATCCTTTTTTGACTTTAAGAGAACAATCGAAACCATTTTGGCTACAAAGAAAGTATTTATGACAAGGAAGCCAATAAACAATCCTAAAAGAGCGTGATAGACCCGATCTTCCTTTTTCATACCCAATGGTCGAATTCTTATTTTCATCAAGACTGTAGTTCCATCAGCACTAGTAAGATATCTTCCGTTAGAAAGTGGTAGTCTTTTCTTCCAACAATCACCATGATTGTTAAAAATAGCAACTGCACAGTTACAATCATACAAGCAAGATCTGCTACATTCGTCCTCTGTGTAATTGAGCAGCCTTTCATAATCTCCGAGAGGCCAATTCACATTTTTTTGCAAGATCTTCATCTCATACACCTTTTCCGGATTGGCTTTTGATTCTTCATCATCAGCGGCACAACCAAAGGGGAGATTAGGTTCGCATCCTCCAAATTCATCGTTCGGATCCACTAGGGAATACCAATCAGGGCACTCACAAGTTGGCCTACCGTCATTCGAATTCCAAACACAGTAGCTATTGTAGCCACAACAACCACTACCCAGATCACCAAAGAGTACAGTGCAAACGTTCCCATCATCAGGAACATACTTCACGAATGACCAAACTTGGTTCTCATAGCTGGGATTCCTTGGATAGGAATACAACGTGAAGACTCCATAATAATCAAGTGTAGCCCTGTAATAATATCTATTTACATCATTATCTAAGCCGTCCCATAGAGGTCTTTGACCTACAGAGACATTTCCAGCAGAATTAAAGACTAGTCCTGACACAGAGTCATTTAAATTTGCATCAAATTCGTAATATTTTTTGTAACGAAATTCAGTTGGCCATCCAATCTGACTTAACGCGAGATTGACACCTTCGAAATAAAGCTCAAACCTTCCCTTTGTATAATTTGATTGTGCCAAGCGAGAAGACAACTTGCCATCAAGACCGAGAGTTTGGTTTGGCAACAGTGTATCGGTGGGATTTTTGAAACTTTCCCACAAATGAGAAGAATTGGAGGATGCCACCAGAACAAAATTTCCATCATCACGCATTTCTGCATGGGACACATCTTCTTGTGGTGTAGAATTCCATATAGCTTGACCTTGGGGGTTAGTGAGACTAAGACCAGTTCGTGTGAGCTGAACTCGCGATCCTGATGGTACTGCTGGATTGGACATGTTTGCATTCCAGACAACGGTTTTGTCAGGTATTTTGTCGTACCAGATGGCAAGTAAAAAGAGATTTGTGTTGTTGATTCGGCGAAATCCGAAAGCGAATTCCTGAGAAGAGGAGAGCCATCGATCATTTTGATCGTTGGCGGAGAGAGTGGTGTTCACATCAACGATTCCAAAAGCCAAATGAAGTCGAAGCAAGAAGAAGGCGAAGAAGTAGATACTAGGAATAGACATGAAAGCGAGTGAACTTTAGAATGAGACGTTGAGAAAGGAGAGGGAGGAAGGGTGGCTTTATGGGGAAGAGAAATGTGAGACAAGGGGTGAAGACGAAGATGCAAGGAATATGTGCATGTCCAAGACCACACTAGGATCGGTTTTCTGGTCTTCAGGTGAATCAGAGAAAGCGTACTTGTTTGGCATTGAGGCCCTATTTTCAACATTGAAAAGTCATCACTAGAATAGATCAGAAGAATAATATCAAGGAGAGAAATAAGCATGTTGTACATTCATCAGTGCTGCAGAATGATCTCAGTCCAAGTATTCTATTCTATACGGTATCTATAATAGCCAAGTGAGATGAGCCTAAAATTATGATTTAATATTCTAATAATCTAGAGTCACCATAGGGTATATTCCAGCATTTTTTTTCCCCAGTATGTGATCTTCCTAGCTAGAAAAATTGAAATTACGCAAGTGATGCCGAGATGTAAAATTTATCTATCTATATATGCGTAGAAAAATAATGGCAATGTTTTCATGTTGTGCGTATATATTAATTTAATAGATGTCGTACTTAAAATAATAAGTTATTGTTTATTGTTATTTAATTAATATTTACATATATTAAGTAATTCAATATCATTTTATAAATATTAGGAGTATTAATAAAAAATTTCGAAGAAATTAAGAATCTAAAAAAATTCAGAAGACTAAAAGTTATGATAATATATAAATATTTGAAAGTTAAAACAACTGTATATTTTCTCGCTTATTATATTCTTTTTTTATTGATTTAATTTATTTTTATATTCTCCCTCTTTCGTGAGATATTAATTCATTCTTTTTTCTTCATTGGAATTGTTATTCGATCGTCTCTATCCATCTAATTTTTCGTGAACCAGGAATTCAAAGCTGGAAAAATGGGTTTCGAAAACAACATCATCAGAAAGGGTAATTCAAATTTATTACTCCATTGACTGGAAAAGCCCGTGCACTGCACAGTGCTAACGGAAAATTCTCAAATACGGGCAAAAAAAAAAAAAAAAAAGAGAGTCACATTTTGAGATTTTAGGTTTTATAATGTATATATACGACCTCATGTCTTTAATATAAAAGCTTGTTTGATTTTTATTTTAGTTTTCAATATAAGACCTTAATCCATTTTATCTTTTATATTCATTCATTTTTTTTTCTAAGATAGTTCTTGTAATAATATTAGTTCTAGTAAATACACTTGATTAGCAATGATATTTTAAGAAAGATGACATCTACTTATTATAAATAATGAACATAACTAATTTTTTTTAATTTACTCAAATTAGTTAATTAACTTTTATATTTTATATTAAAGATAGAAGGTAATTTTGATTATGATAGTGATGATTTAACCGCCAACTTATCCCCCGTTTGACTAAGTCTTGCATTGACTTCTGTTGGCACACAGCACAGTTGAGCAATTGGGAAATTAGGCTGTTTTCCTATGGTTAATTCTTTACATAAGAGAAAAAAAGTTGCTCATTCATTTCATGCATTAGAATACCATTGTGTGCCAAAAAACCCTAATTGAAAAGTCTGTTTTCTTTTCTTTTTCTTTTTTTGAATGAAGAAAAAAAGAGGAAGCAGACTTTTCAAAATGTTCCTAGCACGGGGAGCATAACATTGATTTGTATTTATAATCTCCTTATAAAAGTATATATAATAAATGTCTGACTTAATTTCTACGCAAACCTGGATAAAATTTTTTTTATTCAGTATTATCACCTAAGCTTTCTTAGTTTGTTTTTTGGCCAACCACGTAAGCTGTGTGTGTGTGTGTGTGTGTGTGTGTGTGTGTGTGTGTGTGTGTGTGTGTGTGTGTGTGTGTGTGTGTGTGGAATTATGTTGAAGGGAGAGTCACAGAACTTAATTATGCAAACTAGTGAAATATCCATTTAAATTGTATGTTCACCACATCTAGCAAACCATAAAAGTTTGAATAATATATAGACATCAAATAGGCATCTAGCTTTGCTTTCCTGTATTGAATAGACATCACAATCGATCAAGAAATTACACGCTCACCTCATTCATTTTTTGCTTTTTGGTTGGACTTGTGCATAGGCAGAAAAATAGGTAGAAGGCGCGCAGTTGATTTGGTATCAGGCATCTACAATAATTTCGATAGAAATAATTTATTGACACAGTCAACGCTAATTAACAATGTCATGTATGGCCGGGGTGATCTTAAAAACATATGCATGCTTCATATCTGAGAGCGAGACTGGTAATTTTCTTTTGTTTTTTTTTTCCCAGTAAGTTGAGACTGGTAATTTTCTAAGATCCAGTGCATTGTTGTTAAGGTGGAAAAAAAAAGTACTCCTCTAGTTCTAATATAAGACTTTTTTTGTAATACAAATTTAGGACTAGAGGAGTATTATCGTTGAAGTAATTGCACATATTAACCAAGCTGGGCTTAACTCGTCAATCAATGCATGTGGACCATGGTAGCATCATTATACACACACAACACACACTAGCTTCGGTCCTTATTTTAAGTGCACAATTGCAGTCATTTAAGCAAGATCTTCTACATCAGCCTGTGTGTAGTTGAAAAACATTTCATACTAATGTCTTGGAGGCCAATTCACATTTTGCGCAGGCTTCATCTCACACACCTCTTCTGGATTGGTTTTTTATTTTGCATCATTATCAGCCCCACAGCCAAGTGATGTGATTCAGGTGGCCATCCAATCTGGCTTAACAAGAGCCAGCTTTTATCAAAATAAAGCTCGAACCTACCCTTTGCGTAATTGACTTCTGTCAATTAATCGACAAGTTATTGTTCAGATCCAAGGCTTGTGTGGGTCGAATTGTGTTGCAGATGATATGGGCTCGATTGGGAGATGATGGCCCAATATATGATGGTAGTTCCAATAAGCTACGGTGGAGCCGAAGGGCCCGAAATAAGACTCGGAAGTCGTTAGGGGCCAGGGGCGTGAAATGATTCGGCTATCATTCCTGCTGCAAGATTCTCTATGACCTCTCTCTCTATATTCTGTGCCATCTTCTTTCTGCTCTCTCTGTTCATTATATTCCCAAAGCTGTGGCCTTTTATCTGCTAGTAGATTCGAATAAGCTCTGTATCTGTTGATATTTGCATCTATATTCAGAGCTGACCATTTATTGTTACCGTGTTGCATTTTGCGTTCTCTAACATGACAGATTGTCGACACTTTTTGCCACAAATAAGAAGAATTTGAGAATGCCGGAACGAAATTTCCATCGTTACGCATTTCTGCAAATATACAGGACACATCTTCTTGTAGTTCAGTTGTCCGTATATATAGCGCCTAACCTTGGGGGTTAGGGAGTCTGAGAGTCGATCGGGTGAGCTGAACACGCGATCCTCAGGTACTGCTGGATTTGACATGTTTGCATTACAGGCAATGGTTTAGTGATCTTGATTGGGCGAAATCCGGAGGTGAATTCGCCAGAAGGGGAGAGCCATGCGGCGTTTCGATCGTTGGTGGAGAAATTTATGTTCAAAACCACGTTTCCAAAAGCCAACTGAAGTTGAAGCAAGAAAAGGGCGAAGAAGAATAAAGATACTGGGAATAGACATGAAAGCAAAGTGAACTTTAGAGACACAGGTTGAGAAAGGAGAGGGAGTGGTAACTCTCTATTTTCAATATATTTAAAAAATATTTTAAGCGATTTTTAGAGAGTTATCAATATATTTTAAAAAATTTCTACAAATTAAATTAAAAGATTTGATTTTGGGCATTATTTAGAGAATTTTATTATAAATACCTTAGTTTTAAATGAATAAAAACAATTAGTATTAAATTTAAAACTTAGTTGATTTTATTTTAGGGATAATTAATATATAAGTCCTTATAGTTTCAACTAGTTTTTAATCAGGTCCTTATATTTTTTTTTTATCAGATCCTTATACTTTCATATATTTTTAATCAAGTCCTTATAATTTTTTTTCTTTTTATCAGGTTCTTATTGTTTTACTTTGTTTTTATTAGGTCCTTCTAGTTTTTATTCTTTATTTTACAAATAATTACATTTTAAAAATAATAAATTATTGTAACAATCTTATGTTAATATTCTTTTAAATTTTTGGTTAAACAAATATATTATTTATTTTCAATTCAAATTTTTATAATTATAAAATTCAAAATAGAATAATAAATTTATCTAGAATTAAAGTATGATTATAAATAATTTATATTTAAGTATAATTATTATTCTGATTATTTATTAATTACTAAATGATTATATTAATTATTTTGTCCAATTATATAATTATTAATTTAAAAATGAAATTAATTTTAAAGAATAAAGTTAATAAATAATTTTTCAAAAACTACAAAGCACCTAATTAAAAAATAAGTGAAACTATAAGGACCTGATAAAAGAAAAAAAAAAAAGGACCTAATTAAAAACACACGAAAGTAAAAGGATCTGATAAAAAGAAAAAATTTTATAAAGACCTAATTAAAAATCAGATGAAACTATAAGGACCTGGAGATTAATTATCCCTTTATTTTATCTTGTTTCAATTTCTTAAAAGATGTTATTACAAGGCTACACTTGACCCTTATGGAGTTTTCTCACTATATTCCCATCCCAGGGAATCCAATGAAGATCAGATTTGGTTAATTGAGGGGTATGATCCTGCTAACGTTTGTACTGCAATATAATACTCAGTGATATGGCCGTAGTGGTTGTGGCTATAATAGCTACTGCTTTTGGTATGACAACAGCAAGAGGCCAAATTTTACGTGTCCAAAAGGATATTTCCTGGTAGATCCAAATGACAAATTCGGAGGATGCATGCCAACCTGGTTTCTCCCTTGGTTGTGGAGCTGATAATGCGCGATCACGAGAAAATTCAGAAGAGGTATACCATATGGAGCCTTTGCAAGGTGTGAATTGGCCTCTTGGAGATTATGGAAGGTTGATCAATTTTACCCATGTTGAATGTATAAAATCTTGCTTGCATGATTGTAATTGTGCACTTAATATGGAATACCAAGTCTTCTATTTAGTAGTATGGGACCGGCCACCTTGAGGTAGGGTTCTCCACCTCAATAACATACTCATCAACGAGATACATATTAGTAAAGACACAACTGGAATAGAAAAATTACAAGCAACTATACTAAGATATCTTGGATTCAGCTGTATCTATTTGATATAAAATGTGTAAATTACTTGGGATCCTCTGTAGGTCGTAAGATGATTTTAGATCTTTTCCCTCATGCCTTTCTTCTTGGTGAGCATTTTGTGTTAATTTATGAGCAAATCGTGTTATATGCAGGTGAACTTTATGAGCTTGATGAAAGAAAGTCAGGACCTATATCCCACGGTCAATCCTCACCAAATACTCTATTGAAGGTAAATATCACTGCGTCTAAAAACCAATCAATCTTTATTCTGTTCTTACTCCGCCGAAAGTTTTGTATTCAGGAAAGGATGTAGTTTGTTTACCAGATATTTTTAAATCATATTTATAAACAATCATGTAAATATACAAAACATGAGACAAATTTATTTTGTCTAGTGAGAGGGCTCTGGATTCTCACATGACATGAGAAGAAAATCTTGGTGGAATAGAATTCCCGGTGCTTTAAAGTGGGTATTTGGAGACTCTGTCGCTTTACCTTTTAACAGGTCCTTGCTTCTAACCGCACCTCTACCTTAATTGTTTAGTGCTCACGCTACATTGGTGCATTTGTCGTATGCCTTGCATACGCCACTCCAGTGCAGTCTGATCAAAATTTGCTGAATTTTCAACCTATTTTATTAGAGCTTGCTTTGAACATTTTCAGCCCTTTGTGTCTCGTTACTCATCTCCATCATGTGACAACTTGCTAGTGCTAGATTTTCTGCACTTCATCTTGCTTATTACTTTTATTTGGACAATTTAACCCTTCCTCTTGGGCGAATGGGGGAGGGGAAACCCATACGCCTCTCTCTCTCTCTCACACACACATGCACGCACATTTTGCCACCTAGTATAAACCCAAAGTGAACGTGTCCACAGTCGTTTGTAACAAAGATTGGCCGAATTATCATCATCATCATCATAATACAAGAAAAGGCAAGGAAAAAACCTAGGCTCAAGCCAATATGCCCAGATTGTAAGTCGCTACTCCGAAAAAGGTTTCTACAAATTAGAGGAGCATTTGCTAAAGTCACAACGTCGTCAATGTATCATGTGCACGCCGAGCAAAGTCGCTGCACAGATTGGCCGAATTATTATTTTCTGATAAGTATAAAAACTCACTCTCAAATAACTGTTCAGGCGAGGGGAAATAACTATTTTATTTTTCTGTATTAATTATTTTTAAATATGTTACAATTTGTTTGCTTGCTAGCCAGTACGATCACAAAAAAAAGGTCAGAAGTTGTAACGGCCAACAAAAAATAGAGAAACAGGTTGACGGTTTTGGGTGTATTTGAATTAGCAATAACAAAGCTAACTTGTACATCAACTAAATTTTACAAATTTAAATTTAAATTTAAATTAATTAATATAATATGATTATATTTAGATTGATGTTTATAAAAAATCAGTTAAAAAAATTGATTATGGTTAAAAAAGGTGAAGAGAATAACAAACAAAGAAATGGGCCGCGATGACAGCTATGGTGAGCGATGGAATAGAAGCCCAGTGAATTAACAAGCAAACTGCCATGGACCGTCACTATATTCCCCCCCCCCCCAAAAAAAATTTTTGATGTGAAATCTAGCTAATTTTTTACCCGGAAAAAAAAAATTTAGACATTTTTGTTACTCATCACCGGTCTCAATGTCACATTCTTTGAATCTTCTGACTCATTTTTTTTTCCTAAAAAATGTTTACTAGACATAATCATTCTGCAGTTAACGAAAGGCGTTAGGATGGAACTAAGGAGAATGGTCGTGTTAAGAAAAAGGGAAAATCAATTTGGAGATCCTTGTAGTTTGTTCTTGATTCTGAATCAAGTCCCTAAGTTTTTTTTTTCCCTTTTTATTAGATCCTTTAACTTTATTCAGTTAGATCCGTTAGTCCGCATCGTTAAATAAGCACTAACAGTGTTAAAAACTTCTGTTAATCTGGACCTATCATCTCCTTCCACCATAGCCCAAGAAAAAGGGGAAAAGGAAAGAGAGAGAACTGGGGAAAGTGGTGGGGCCGTGAAAAGCTTAAACCCATAGTTTGGGCATAGATATTCATTTTGTGTGTGTAGGTCACTAAAACAAATAATATTACTATTAAATTAACATCAGCTCTTAACAAATGAGACAAGTTTATTTCTTAGGAGACCTTGATGATCAACAACGAAAAATATGACTGCGTACAAACAAGAAGCCACATGCATGTGAATAAAATAAACAATCAACCGTAATGACTAACATCATGGAGAGAAAAATCCTATGATGAATAACGTTCGTTGGCGATAAGAAGCAACTCCTTTACCTCGATGTCTGCCATAGGACTCCGACTATGTCCATGGCTGCGACCCGTGAACTTTCGAGGAGAAGGACGAAGGAAACGGAGGACTTGGAACCTCGATAAGGCCTTCCAACATTTGCATCACATTCTTCATGCTAGGCCTTGTTTCTGGATTCTCCTGAATGCACCATATTGCTATCATCACCCATTTCTTTAATCTCCCCATGTCCGCAATGGCCTCCTTATCATTCTCTACCAGGACGTCAATTCTTCCCTCCATATAGCAATCGTAAACCCAATCTATTAGTATTGCCTGGCCTTCCTCCATTTCATCCCGATCCATCTCCAAGCTTCTTCTGCAACAAATTATCTCTAGCAGCATCACGCCATAGCTATAAACATCCACCTTAGCCGTCACTGGAACACTCTTGAACCATTCTGGTGCTACATATCCTCTGGTTCCTCTTATCATTGTGTGGGTTCTGCTCTTATTAGAATACAACAACTTGGCCAACCCGAAATCTGAGATTTTTGGCATGAAATGCTCATCTATGAGAATATTTTGGGGTTTTATATCACAGTGAATGGTGGGGGTCTCACACTCTTCGTGTAAGTAAAGCAGCCCTCTTGCAATTCCTAAAGCAAATCTAACCCTCAAATTCCATACAGGTTTGGGTTGCCGGAAAAGGATGTCTGCAAGTGCACCGTTGCTCATAAACTCGTATACCAAAAGTCTATGAACTCCTTCATCACAGAACCCGATCAGCTTGACCAAATTTCTGTGGCATGTTCTTCCAATGGCATTCAACTCATTCCTAAACTCCCTCTCACGTTCCGGAGCTATTCTATCCAATCTCTTCACCGCAACAACAGTAGTTTTCGTTATTGAGTTGAGGGTGCCTTTGTACACAATGCCAAATGAACCCCTTCCTAAATCTTCACTGAACCCATGTGTTGCCTCCTTCAGTGCTTGATATGTGAAAGAGTGCATATTTGTTTCAACAAAACTTGAAACTCGACGTGCAACCTTATAGGGCTTTAACAGAATAATGGATACAACTGTGGCTGCCAACAGAGCAATAATAACAAGGGAGCCAATTAGCGACCCTAATAGAGCAGGTTGGACCCGATCTTTCTTTTTCAAAGGCTGAACTCTTATTTTCAAGAGTGTTGTTGTTAAACCCTCCATCAGATCTATTCTTCCGTTAGAAAGGGGCAATCTTTTCTTCCAACAATCCTTTGCAGCGTTAGAGATAACAACGGCACAATTACAATCATACAAGCAAGATTTTTCACATTCATCCCGAGTATAATTGTTCAACCTTTCATAATCTCCAAGAGGAAAATTCACATTTGGCAGAGGCTTCATCTCATATACCTTTTCTGGATTTTCTCGTGATCGCGCATCATCAGCTCCACAGCCAAAGGAGAAAGCAGGTTGGCATCCTCCAAATTTGTCGTTTGAATCTACCCATGAATATCCTTCTGGACACATACAAGTTGGCCTCTTGGTGCTGTTATCCCAAGAGCAGTAGCTGTTGTAGCCGCACGAACCACTACCCATATCACTATATATTGCATTACAAATGTTGTCAGGAACATACCCCACATTTGACCAAATCTGATCGTCATTTGACCCCCTCGGATGGGAATACAATGAAAAAACTCCATAGTAATCAAGCGTAGCCCTGTAATAATATCTGCTAACATCAAGATCTGAACTACTCAATCCAATGGCTCTTTGACCTCCGATTACTGATGAATTGAAGCGTAGTTGTGAAGCAGATTGATTGGAACTCGTGCTGATATCAAAATACTTGGTGTAAAGAGATTCCGATGGCCACCCAATCTGAGCTAAGGAGAGATTGCCATTATCAAAATAAAGCTCGAACCTTCCCTTAGTGTAATTGGTTGGTGACAATCGAGAAAATAACTTACTGTTCATATCCAAAGTTTGTGAGGGTAAGAGTGTGTCCGTAGGATTGTTGAAACTTTGCCACAAATAAGAAGAATTTGAGGATGCCAGCACAAAATTTCCATCGTCACGCATTTCTGCATAGAACACATCTTGTTGCAGTTCAGTTGTCCACAGAGATTGACCTTGGGGGTTAGTGAGATTAAGACCACTTTGTGTGAGCTGAACACGCGATCCTGATGGTACTGCTGGATTTGACATGTCTGCATTCCAGACAATGGTTTTGTCAGGTATTTTGTCAAACCAGATGGCAAGCAAAAAGAGATTTGTGTTGTTGATTGGGCGAAATCCAAAAGCGAATTCCTGAGAAGAGGAGAGCCATGAAGCATTTTGATCGTTGGTGGAGAAATTTGCGTTCAAATCAACGCGTCCAAAAGCCAGATGATGTTGAAGCAAGAAAAGGGCGAAGAAGAAGATACTGGGAATAGCCATGAAAGCGAGTGAGCTTTAGAATGAGATGTTGAGAAGCGAGAGGGAGGAAGCGTGCCTTTATGGGGAGGAGAAGCGTGAGAAAAATAGCGAAGACGAAGATGCGGGGAATATGTGCATGTCGAAGACCACACTGGCTAGGATCGGTTTACATGGTCTACGCGTAAATTAGAGAAAGCGTACTTGTCAGCTATTGAGGTCCTATTTCCAACATTGAAAAGTCATCACTAGAATAGATCGAAAGAATAATATTAAGGAGAGAAATGTGCATTCTGTATATTCATCACTGCTGCAGAATGATCTCAGTTCAATTATTCTACACGGTGTCTATAATAACTAAGTGAGATGACCCTCTGATATTCTGCTTTTATATTCTAATAAGCTAAACGCAAGCATAGGGTATATTTCATCATTTTTTTCCCACTATGTGATCTTCCTTGTAAGCCAAAAAAAAAAAAGTGATCTTCCTAAATCTATATAGACATAATTTAATAGATTTCGTATTTAAAATAATAAATTATTATTGATTGTTATTTACATATATTAAGTAATTCAACATAATTTTATAAATCTTATGAATATTAATAAAAAATTCAAAGAAAATAGGTATTTAAAAAAAATTCAGAAGACTAAAGTTTATGATAATAAATAAAGTTAAAACAACTATGTATTTTCTCTCTCATTATATTCTTTTAAATTTTTTTTTCATATCCTTCTTCGTTCATTAGATGTTGATTCATTCTTTTTTCTTCATTGGAGCTGTTATTCGTCTTTAACTATCCATTTTTTCGTGAACCAGGAATTCAAAGCCGGAAAAATGGGTTTCGAAAACAACATCAGAAATCAAATTGATTACTCAATTGACTTGAAGAGCCTGTGCAATGCACAGAGTTAACGGAAAATTCTCAAATAAGAAAAAACTGACAAAAACAGCAGAGTAACATTGTGGGACCTTAGGTTTGACAATACACACACATATTGATTGTGATATGGATCCCCTGTTTGACAAAGTCTACTGTTTGGGACCTTAGGTTTCGCTATATACACGCGCATATCCCCTGTTTGACAAGATCTCACATTGATTTCTGTTGGCGGACAGCACAGTTGAGTAATTGGGAAATTAGGCTGCTTCTTATGGTTAATTCTTTACATAGGAAAAAAAAAATGAAGTTGCTTATTCATTTCATGTGAAAACCATAACAATAGTACCATTGTACGTACCAAAAAACCCTAACTGAAAAGTCTATTTTCTACTCATTCATTGCATGTGCACCATTACATTGACTTTTATTTATAATCTCCTTGTAAAAGACTAAAAGTATAGATAATAAATTCCTGATTTAGTTTCCACGCAAACCTGAATAAATTTTTGAGGGAATTACAATTAAGTCCCACAGAAGAGAAATAATTACTAAAAGATCCTAATAACAACCTCAACAACCTATAATGACAAGTCCTATAGTAAGAATGACAATTTCTAGGACTTGTTTTTCAATTGTAATTCTTGGGACCTCATTGTAATTCTTCCTAAATTTTTTTCATTCAGTATCACCTCAGCTCTCTCTCTCTCTTTCTGTTTTTTTTTTGGCTAACCATCTAAGCTGTGTGTGTGTGGAGAGACTATGTCGAAGGGAGAGTCACAGAGTCACTATATATAACAAAGCACAGAAGTTTAGGATTAATAGACATCAAATAGGCATCTTGCTTTAATTTCCTGTACTGAATAGACATCACGATAAGGTGGTTGATTCGGTATGAGGCATCTAGAATAATTTTGATTGAGATTATTTATTGACAGAGTCCACGTCAATTAACAATGTCATACATGAGTTCCGTGGTGATCTAATTAAAAGCATGCTTCATACCTGAGGCTAGTAATTTTCTAAGATCCAGTGTATTATTGTTAAGGCGAAAAAAAAAAAAGTATTATCATTGAGGTGATGATCTGTACATGTTAACGAAGCCGGGCTTAACTCTTCAATAGTATATACAAGACTCGGTTCATTAATTTAGAGAGATTAAAGAGAGTAAATAAATTACTTAATATGATATATGTTATATGATCTCTATAAAATATTTATGTGTATAATTAGATTATATACCAGCTTATAAATTAGGCAAGTTAGCTTTAAAAAAAAAATACTTTAAAGTAATTTATTTAGTTTTCTTAATCTCCTCAAAATTATTAACAAATGTATTCTGCGCAAAATGCCACACTTTTTTTTTAAAACGACAGATCATAAAAAAAAACCCAAATATACAAAGGCATATAATTATCCTTCTCACATTTTTGCGTTATTCTATGATCAATCCCTTCACCGCAACAACAGTATTATTTGTTGTTGAGCTGAGGGTGCATTTATACACAATGCCAAATGAGCCCCTTCCTACCTCTTCATTGAACCCATATGTTGCCTCCTCCAGTTCTTTGCGCACATTTGTTTCAACAAGACTTGAAACTTGAGCAGCCTTTTTTAAGAGGACAATTGGAAAAATTATGGCTATACGAAGAAAAGTATTAATGACAGGGGAGCCAATAAGCAATCCGCAATGGATCTTCCCTTTTCATTATAGAGGGATTATTGTTACCCAATGGTGGAAGCCTTATTTTCACCAAAGCTGTCGTTCCATCAACCTTAGTGATAAGATACCATCTATTAGAAAGGGGTAGTCTTTTCTGTCAACACATACCTCCATTGTTAAAAATAGCAACTGCACAATTAAGATCAATTAATTAAGCAACATGATCTTCTCCATTCGGCGTCTGTGTGATTGAGCAGCCTCTCATAATCTCCAAGAGGCCCATTAACATTTGTGTAGGCCTTATCTATACGCCTCTTCTTGATTGGTTTCTGTCAATTAATCGACAAGACAAGCTACTGTTGATATCCAAAGTTCGTGTGGGCAAGAGCATGTCGATAGGATTGTGTAGCGGTCGAAGATAATATGGGCTCGTAAAATCGTGGCCCAATGGATGATGGTAGGTCCAATATGCTAAGCGGGAGCGTGAAAGAAGACTTGGAAGCTTACCCTCTGTTCACCCGGTACAAGGGAATTGGAGGGTATGGGATGCTCAATCTGAAAAATTGAAAAAGTTGAAGGAGAGGTGAGAAATGGACGAATGAGCTTACCCTCATTAGGGAATTGGACGAAAGCAGGGGCAGCTGTCTTAATGGGCTTACCCTCACCTCCCTTTTCCTTCATTTCCCTCAGTAGGGAATTGGACGAAAGCAGAGGGCAGCTGTATAACAACAGAAGTGGTTGGAGGAGGGGTGAGAGATGATTTGGCTATCATTCCTTCTGCAAGATTCTCTATGACCTCTCTCACTATACTCTATGCTATCTTTTTTCTGCTCTCTCTGTTCATTATATTCCTATAGCTGTGACTTTTTACCCATTTGATTCAAGTAAGTAAGCTCTGTATCTGGTTCATATTTGCATCGATATATATACGTTTATATTCAGAGCTGACCGTTTATTGTTGCTGTGTTATATTTTGCGTTCTCTATCATGACAGAATGTTAACACTTTGCCACAAATAAGAAGAATTTGAGGATGCCGCCGGAACAAAATTTCCAAAGTTACGCAGTTCTGCATGTATATAGGACGCATCTTGTTGTACGTAGTTCAGTTGTCCATATAGACTAACCGTGGGGGCTAGTGAGTCTGAGACACGTTCGGGTGATGAGCTGAACACGCGATCCTCATATATGGTACTGCTGGATTTGACATCTTTGCATTCCAGACAATGGTTTTGTCAGGTGTTGGCAAGCAAAAAGAGATTTGTGTTGTTGATTGGACGAAATCCTAAAGCGAATTCCCCAGAAGAGAAGAGCCATAAGGCATTTTCATCGTTGGTGGAGAAATTTGGGTTCAAAACCATGTTTCCTAAAAGCCAAGTGAAGTTGAAGCAATAAAAGGGCGAAGAAGAATAAAGATCCTGGGCATAGACATGAAAGCGAGTGAGCTTTAGAATCAGAAGTTGAGAAAGGAGACGGAGGAACGGTGGCTTTATTGGGAGAGACACACGAGGGAAGGGATGAAGATGCAAGAAACATGTACGCGCATGTCCCTGACCACCCGGCGATTGATTTGCTTACGTGTCAGGCACTGAGCCCCTCTCTTTGACAATGAAAAGTCATCAGCACAATCAGGGCACGTGAATATTCACGTGTACTGCACATGGATCTCAGTTCAAATGTACATTTGTACTAAGCTTAAGCTAAACGCTGGTAAAGAGGGAAAAAAAAAAAAGGTTAAGCTAAACGCAAGCATTGAGTATAATAAATTATTATTTCTTGTCATTTAATTAATCTTATACTCCTCCGGTCCTTATTATAAGACCCAATTTGACTTTTTATTTGGTCCTAATTATAAGACCCAATCCATTTTCTCTCTTATATTTATGCATTTTTTTCCAAGATAATCCTTCTAATAATGATAGTTTTAGCCAATATACTTAATTAGCAAGGATATTTTAGGAATAACAACACTTATTTATTATAAATAACCAACTTAAATTATTTCCTTAATCTCCTCAAATAAGTCAATTGGGTCTTATAATTAGGACCGGAGGAGTATATATATATCAAGTAATTCAATAATTTTTGGAATATTAATGACAACTTTGAAGAAATTAAATTAAGTATGCATATTCTTAAGAAGTTTCTGAAGATTAAAATTTATGGGGATAAATATATATGCTTAAAACAATTCTATTTTATCTCATTGTTTTAACTAGAATTTACTCTCCCGTATCATGCAGGAGAAAAATCTTTCTTTAATACAGGAAAAGAATTTGCTTTAACGTAATGATTAGTTTCAATTCATTGTAACCTCCGTTACGAAACCATCAACATAACATATTATATACATTCCATGTGCAAACAATGGCATTGTAATTACCATGAAATAAATTTGCCTATTCAATAACTTTATGTTTACTTATTTAAGATCAAACATTATCAACAAACCCAGTCCTAAATAGCAGATATGGGAACATTTATATCACATTGATAAAGATATTTTTCTGCATATCATGCTTTTTATTTCCCTCGAACAGTAACCAATCAATATATTTAGTTACATGCTATCAAAAGAAAGTAGATTTGCTCACAATATACTTAAAAGTTTATTATCCTAAGTTTAAATCCCACAATGAAATATAATAATCACAATCATAACAATTGTTCCAATTAACCTATTATTATGAAATACGTCGTGGTTGATTTTACTTCTCTCTTGTAATGCACAGGGACATTAAAATTAAAAATTAATAATATTTGAATGTTGAATATTACAAATGCACGACCTCGGAGGAAAGTTTACTATTAATGTCAATTGAAAATAGTTTGCATTTAAAAAAGTACCGTGCTAATTAATATAATTAGAAAGGATCAGATCCTTACATTAGAATTATCTAGGGGGAAATAGCTGTGTAGTGGAGTGATGTGCCATTATTTTTGCCTTTACGAATGACAGGTAAAAACTAATTTCAAAAAGCGGCTGCTACCTCCACTCTTATGCATCCGCACTAGCTACTAAACCTCATATTTAGCATATGTTGACCTGAAAGATAACAATCAAATTCTTGAGTCTTCGAAAGATATGGTTGTCACATGAGCCTCACCCATAAAGCTAGTGACCAATAATATTTGTTTAGTAGTTAGCCAAGTCCTGTCAGTTGGGGTGATCATTAGCATTTCTTCACATAGCTCAAGAACAAACATAAGCATGAAATTAAACATACGAGTATTAAATTTGACCTTGTCATGTAATTAATATTTGCAAGATATAACCCATCCAAATGGTACACTTAAGACCAAATTTGAAGAGGAATATAAAAATCCTCTGCTTCTCATCTAAGACCACCCTCACGTTTTCCATCTGTAACCAATTTCTCAAGAAGAGACGATACAGCAATAGTGAGAGAGAGAGAGAGATGAAGGAAAAACCGAGGGAGGGCGGAGATGCACACCTGATGTGTAAGAAAAAAAGATATCTCCCTCTCTCTTAATCCTAATTCTTGGCCTCTTCTCATCCTTAGATTGAAAAAAGAAGTTAGGCACAGCCACTAATTCTCCTCTTTTCCAGGGATATGAGGGAGAAGGTTTTATGGGAAATTCTTTCCTATCTATGTAGAAAATATTACTTATGTAGAAAATTTCCTCCCTTCTCCCTTGTCAGGTTTGGTGAGAAAAATAAAAAAAAAAAAAGAGAGGGAAAGGAAACAAGCAGAATTTGAATTTTGAATTTAAAGTAGAAAAATGTTAAAATGAATACGTGTAGATGTGCAATTATAAGCGTACAAGAAACTAACAATCTGCCACACAAGCAAAGTTAAAAAAAGAAAGGAAGCAGAAACATTCTCTGCGGAGGCCAAAAAATATGACAAATGTGAACAATATTTGCAATTTCTTAGCCAATAGGAGAGAGAAAATTAAAAATGAAAAAAAGTTCATCCCACGGATCCATGCAACCTCATAATAAAGGAACACGGAACCCATGCATAAGCTGGTAACAGTACAGTAAAATGAGTGAGGAGTCATTATAAATAGGGAAATGACCCAGCTTGGCTTTGATTTTTTTTTTTTATGGTGAAGGGCTATGATTTTTATTTGTTATGTCTATAGATTTATTTTTGAATATATTTTTCTTCTTTCATTAGATAGTCATTCTTCTTTTTATCTTGGTTTTGCGTTGGAATTGTCATTCGTCTCTGTTCATCCCCTTTCTCGTGACTAGGAATTCGAAACTGGAAAAATGGGTTTCGAAACCAATATCAGAAAGTACGGGAATTTCAATTAATTACTCCGTTGACTAGAAGAGCCCTGTGCTATGCACAACGTTAACAGAAATTTTTCAGATACTATCCCTAGTTTTAATTATAAGATTTTATTTATTAACTATAAATAAGGTTTTATAATTAAAACCAGGGGTAGTAAAAAAAACTGACAAACAATACAGTAGAACTTAACATCTTGATTATAAATGAGGTGTTATAATTAAAAGCAGAGCTAGTAAAAAACAACTGACAAACAGAACAGTAGAGGTAACATTTGAGATTTAGGTTTTATAATATATCCTACATTCTGTCCTTAATATCAGAATTAGTTGACTAATTTAAATAGATTAAGAAAATTAGTTAAGTTAGTTATTTGTAATAAATAGGTGTTATTTTTCTTAAAATATCAATATTAATCAAGCGTATTGGTTAGAATTATTAGTATTATAATAAAAACTATCTTAAAAAAAGATAAATATAAAAAATAAAGTGAATTAGAGTCTTATATTTAAAACTAAAATAAAAGTCAAACAAAATTTTTATATTAAAGACCGGAAGTAGTATTAATTATGATATAATGACTCAATGCCAGCTTATCCCCAGCCCAGTAGATAGAAGTCGGTTGGTTCGGCATTAGGTACATAAATAATAACGTTGATAGAGATAATTATTGACAGAGTCAACAATAAGTAAAGAAGATCCACGCGTCATGTTCGGCATTGGTTATTATTCTCTAAGATTCAATGTATTATTGTTGAGTTGACTAGTGTGCTTCACTTCGTCAATAATTCACGCGGACCATCTCGTAATACCATATTATGTTACGTGCGAAACGGCACACTTCATTTGCTCTATGGTATAATTTGCAGAAGATACGGTGGCATATATCTCTTGTGTGCTATTTTCCTCTTAATCCGTGTCATTTGTTTAATTTTTCCAACTCACCTGTCACTTTAACGCTTTCTACTTTTAACAGCGTCAGCTCTGCTGTGAGCTTTTCTATTCTCTCCTATCAATCCAATTCATTTTTCAACGTTAAAATAGTGGCCAACGCCTCACCCATGCTTTGCTTTACGCACCACCAAGACCATATAAACCAATCCCAGTGTGGTCTCCGGCCGACATACGTACAGACATTTGGCCTGGTACGACGTACCTTCTCTTATGTTGATTGCCCCCTGGGCGCCCCCTTCCTCCCTATCTCTTCTCTCAACTTCTGACAGAACGAAAAGCAAATAAAAACAGAGGCTTCTTGCTCTAGCCGAAGGGGAAAAACTTCCTTCTTTAAGCGGATACAAAAAAATAACCGGTGAACTACACTTGCTTCTGGATAGATGTGTGGGACAGAGGGCTCGTGGTACCAGCTGCCCACCCTTCTTCCTCTGCTCTGAGAAACAAAGTGGATTGAATCAAAATAAAAACAAGTCATTATAATCACTGTACAAGGAGATGTGGCCGTGCTCTAATTTGCAGCAGAGGAAAAGAATGAAAAATCAGCCTCACACGTGAAAGGTCATTACCTATCCTTATCCCTAGTGCTCACAAATACACAGATATCCTATTTTCTATTTTTCTCTAACGCTAATTCTAAAGCTCACTCTCTTTCATGGCCATACCCAATATCTTCACCGTCCTTCTCTTGCTTCCTCTTCATTTGGCTTTTGCAAACGTCACTTTGAATTCAACTCTCTACGCCAGTGATCATAACTCTTCATGGCTCTCATCCTCCAAAGAATTTGCTTTTGGATTTCATCCAATCAACAACAGCACAAGGCTCTTCTTGCTTGCCATCTGGTTCGACAAAATACCTGCCAAGACCATTGTCTGGAGTGCAGACATCGCAGATCCAGTACCACTGGGATCGAGGGTTCAGCTCACATCAACGGGTCTCACACTTACTAACCCCCGAGGTCAAGTGATGTGGGCAATCGAACCAGAAGAAGATGTGTCCTACGGAGCAATGCTTGATACCGGAAATTTTGTTCTGGCATCCTCTAGTTCTTATTTGTGGCAAAGTTTTGACAGTCCCACCGACACGCTCTTACCTGCACAAACTTTGGATGTGAACAGTAAGTTATCTTCTCGATTGTCGTCAGTCAATTACACAAAGGGAAGATTTGAGCTTTATTTTGACAATGGAAATCTCTCCTTGAGTCAAATTGGGTGGCCATCTGAGTTTCATTATGACAAATATCTGAGTATTAGCACGAGTTCTAATGACTCTGCCTCACAACTAGTCTTCAATTCGTCGGGATATATTTATGTGAAGACAAAGAGTGGAGATCAAATAGCTCTTGGGTTGAGTAATTCCAGTCTTTCTGTTAGAAGATATTATTACAGGGCTACACTTGATCCTTATGGAGTCTTCTCGTTGTATTCCCATCCTAAGGAACCCAACGGAGATCAAGGTTGGTCAATTGAGGCGTACGTTCCTGATAACATTTGTACTGCAATATTTAGTGATATGGGTAGTGGTTGTTGTGGCCATAATAGCTACTGCTCTTGGGATGACAACATCAAGAGGCCAAATTGTTCGTGTCCAAAAGGATATTTCTTGGCAGATCCAAACGACAATTTCGGAGGATGCCAACCAGGTTTCTCCCTTGGTTGTGGAGCTGATGATACGCAATCACGAGAAAATCCAGAAGAGGTATATCATATGGAGCCTTTGCAAAGTGTGAATTGGCCTCTGGGAGATTATGAAAGGTTGATCAATTATACCCAAGATGAATGTATAAAATCTTGCTTGCATGATTGTAATTGTGCAGTTGCTATCTCTAACACTGGAAAGGATTGTTGGAAGAAAAGATTACCTGTTTCTAACGGAAGATTATCTACAAGTGCGGGTGGAACAACAGCACTCTTGAAAATAAGAACTCAACAACTGGGTAATCTTAATCCTTCTCGGCAAAAGGAATATCGGGTCCAACCCGCTTTGTTAGGGTCCCTTATTGGCTCCCTTGTTCTTAGTACCCTATTGGCAGCAGCTTTGGTTTCGATTATTCTCTTAAAGCCCAAAAAGGCCACTCGTGTTACAAGCCTTGTCGAAACAAATATGCATTCTTTCTCATATGAAGTACTGAAGGAGGCAACAAATGAGTTCAACGAAGAAGTAGGAAGAGGTTCCTTTGGCATTGTGTACAAAGGCATCCTCAGATCAGTAACAAATACTGTTGTTGCAGTGAAAAGATTGGACAGATTGGCTCAAGAACGAGAGAAGGAATTTAGGAATGAGTTGAGCGCTATTGGAAACACATGCCACAAAAATCTGGTTCGGCTGATTGGGTTCTGTGACGAGGGAGATCATAGACTTCTGGTGTATGAGTTCATGAGCAATGGTACTCTCGCCGATATTCTCTTTGGAAAATCCAAACCCGACTGGAATTTAAGGGTTAACTTTGCTTTGGGAATTGCAAGAGGTTTGCTTTACTTACATGAAGAGTGCGACACTCCTGTTATCCATTGCGATATTAAACCTCAAAATATACTGATAGATGCACATCTGAGGGCAAAAATCTCAGATTTTGGGTTAGCCAAGTTGTTGTGTTTTAATCAGAGTCGAACCCAGACAATGATAAGAGGAACTAGAGGATATGTAGCACCAGAATGGTTCAAAAACGTTCCAATAACTCCCAAGGTTGATGTCTATAGCTATGGCGTGATGCTGCTGGAGATAATTTGTTGCAGAAGAAGTGTGGAAATGGATATGGATAAAGGGGAGGAAAGAGAGGCAATACTGACAGACTGGGCTTATGATTGCTATATGGATGGAAGAATAGACATTCTCGTAGAGAACAATGAGGAGGCCATGGCCGATAGAAGCTTGAAGAAGTGGGTGATGATAGCGATGTTGTGTGTCCAAGAGAATCCTGAAGTGAGGCCTACCATGAAGACAGTGACGCAAATGTTAGAAGGCCTCGTTGACATTCCAAATCCACCACCGCCTTCGTTCTACACCCATGTTTGATTATCGCAATTGTGGAAGCCATATGTAGTTTTATGGTAATTATTATCACCCTAAATAAACTGCCCAGGTAGGTTATCATTATACTACTATGTTGTTCAGAATGGTTGTAACTGCGCATACTCTTTTCTTTCGTAGTTTTTGAACTTAACTATGTCTTAGGATGGTTTTATGGTTTATAATTGATGCTATCAAACATTAAGACGCTGCAAGTGTACTGGTTACCAAAATAAATAGTAACAAATCAAAGTCAATCTGACAAAAAACTCAATTAATAGTAATTAGGCAATAAAAATTCTTTTTTCATTTAAGTTGAAAAAATCAGGATTTGATGAAATTAAGTGAAAAGAAATTCAAATAAAACAAAACAAAACTTTCTCAAATTACTAGAACAAATATTAAAAAAACCAACCTAGAGTTACTAATTCCTTATTAGCTTTTTAAACCTTGCTTCACTTAATTGATTAGCTTTAATGTCAATTTTGTTAATCTAGAATATAATTAGCTATAAGTGCTTGTCAGTCCACTTATAACCCTCTCTTAAATTAATCATGTAATCTCTTACATAATTATCTAAGAGGTTAAACAATTCGATTTCACTCATCAACAATTACACGGGCAATAGATCTATTTCTATCCTAATCATAAATTAGATTATCATTTAATCTCATATTACTTAATCAAAGAACTTAACTAAAATCCTCTCTATCAAAGAAAACTTTAATCCTCAAATTCATAGTAATTAATAATGGCGAGTTATCAAATGAATAATAAAGAACAAGATTAAGTAACTAAAATTTGACACTAAACATCCTCAATTTAGTGAAAATAAAACTCATTCCATTACCAAGTTCATAATTCCTCTGGCTGTTACACATGATTTTAAATATAATCATCTTAGCAACAATAATTTCCAGATTCAAAATCATGATAGAAAGAAAGAAAGATTGGAAACAAAATACTGTTCGAAGCTCCTATCACAGCACGTGTTCCTCTGCTCAAAGCCAGTCGGCTCCTGACTCTAATGAAGAAGAAGATCACGGTTGATGAACCAGATTCGGCCTCTCGCAATGTCTGCCTCCCTCTCTCGTTCATTGAACCAGTCGAACCCAAAGAACAAGAGAAGAAGATGACGTCCAGTCTCCCAACGATGAACAGTATCGGCCCCCAACAGTCTGGCTTTTTCCTTCAAGACGATAATAAACAGTGTCGACCTTCTCCTCCAGCAGAACCCGTCGGCCACCTTCAGAGAAGAAGATCCAGTCGCGCCCCACTCCCTTCCTCACTATTCTTCTCGTCGTCTCTCCTCAGAACCCAGCGAAGAAGAAGATCATACAGAACAGTTCGGCGCCTCCTCGACACAACCGGTTCGGTCCTTCCTGAACCTTTTGCCCTTTTTCCTGATTCCTGAACACCCCCCTCCCCTCAATCCTTCAAAACGCTGTCGTTGCCTCTTAACTTTCAAAGTCAACTTCCAATTTTCCTTCTCCAAACGGTGTGTCTCTGCCTCTCCCAAATGTAAATTATTTTTTTTGGGGCCAAAATCTGCCTCTTCCAAATTCGAAACTTCATTCTGCTCAGTTAAAAGAAACTGACGCCACCTGTGCTAAAGGTCAAGAAAAGGAATTGATAAAAATAAAACGAAGAAATAACAAAATAAAATACTAATAACTTTTATATTTTTCTTTTATTTCGGAACTACTTTTTATTATTTATTTATATCTTAAACTAAACTATTTCTATTTTGATTTAAAGCCATGATATACACACTAAAATCCCCCAATTAATGCCTCAAATAAATTTCTCAAATTAACTCTTAAAAATCACTGAAAATTAATTGATAATTTTCCAAAATGTACTCAAAATATTCAAAATGAATATTCATCGATATTCTGCGGCCACACTCTGGTTGATGAACTTGAACTGACATCTTGAAGAGATATAGGTTCTCATGATTTGAAGGAGACGAGATATAATGATTTGATATCACTTAATTTTGACTTGAAAAGAATACACATGAAAAGCTTGCATCCGAAGAAAAGAAAAAAGGAATATATTGTGCTGCTATATCCAGCTGTTTGTGTGTCACTTTTTTTTTTGTTCTTTTTATGTTAATGACAAAAGATTTAATAAGCGGAAAGTAGTCCCCAGATTTTTTTTTTTTCAGAAATTAGATATTTTGACTTAAATTTTGAAATAAAGACGTGTGTGTATCAGTAACACTATTGTATGGAGATAGTAGATATGCATATTGAGTAGTACCTCCCTACACGTACTCTCAGGAGTAACAATTTAAAAATTGTAAAAACAAAAAAATACAAGAAGACTCGTTCAATTTTGATGTCTGGGAGATGATGTAAAGAGATAGTGTAAAAAGTGATGACAGTCGAGAATCAATATCTGATTCTTTCGTACATATAAAAGTACTGGAATATTGATTTAATAGATGCACAATTTTCTCACATAACACATGTCAAAATTAATAAAGTAAAAATATTATTCACTGTAATTTAATATTTACCAATAAAATAATTTGAATCAATATAAGTTTCTACAAGGTAGAATTCCAATAAAATCTAACTGACATATCTAAACCTAAATGAAGGCTTATATTTTTAGCAAATTCCTAATGAGACCATGAGACGTGATTTAGAACTTTTGAATATTGTCAAATGACTAAAATACCTCCTTTTAATTAAAAATAAAAATTAATTATTTTATCCTTCTCAAATAATCTCTCGTCTTTTATGATTGTTTTTTAAGAGTAAAAAAACGCAAGTGTTTTTGTAGTGTTTAAAATTTGTATGTATCACTAAAAGCTTCAAAAATATTCTAATAAAACATTTAAATCACAATATAAATAGCCTGGAAATATATATATTTTATTTTTGTTGATAAATATTTATTTTAAGATTTTAAAATATCTTAATTACAAGAAATATTTAATATTATGTTCTCATAATTTTGTTTGTTTTATTTACTTAAGTGATTCCAACTGAAAAGGTTATTTATAATAACTTAGTATTAAATATTTTTTGTAACTAAGATATTTTAAAATTTTAAAATAAATATTTACCAACAGAAAATAAAAAATATTTATTTCAAAACTAATTATGTTGTAACTTAAAATGTTTTATTAGAATACTTTTGAAGATTTTGTTTATATATACAAATTCTAAATACCAAATTACGTATATGTTTTTTAGTCCAAAAAAATAATCATAAGAGATGAGAAACAACTTAAAAGGGTAAAATAATCAAATTTTATTTTTAATTAATGAGGGGCATTCTGATTATTTAACAACATTCAAAAATTCCTAATAAGGCCTTATAGCCTAATTACAAAATTATTAAAAGTGTAGGCCTTTTATTTGGATTTTGGTATTTTAGCCAAATTTTATTAAGATTCTCCCTTTCTATAATTCCTTAGAGCAATAAAAACAACTTTATTTAAGACCGTATCTTGTTTATATATATGTGTGTGTGTTTGTGTGTGATTATGTTGAAGGGAGAGTCAAAGAACTCAATTATGCAAACTGGTGAAATACTCTTCCGGTCCTTAATATAGGACCCAATTATTAAGTTGGTTTTGATCATAAATATAAGACCAATTTCTCATATTTATAAATTTTTTCTAAATTACTCCTATGGATACTCCCTCAACCATAATCAAATAGAAGAGGAAGAGGAGATAGTAAGAAAGATGATTATGGTATTTTAGGAAAAACGTGTCACATTTCTTATAATTAACTAACTTACCTAATTTCGGTAATATAATCAAATTAGTTAAATGAGTCTTATATTAAGGACCAGATGAGTATTCATTTCATTAAATTGTATGTTCACCACATATAGCAAAGCATATAAGTTTGATTAATATAGACACATGAAATAGGCATCTTGCTTTGACTTCCCGTATTGAATAGACATCACAAGTGATCAAGAAACTACACGCTCAGCTCATTCCTTTTTGGCTTTTTGTTTGGACTTGTACATAATATGAAGAAAAATTGAGAGAAGGCGTGCGGTTGATTCCGTATCAGGCATCTAGAATAATTTTGATAGAGGTAATTTATTAACACAGTTGACGTTAATTAACAATGACGTGAGTTCCGTGGTGATCTAAAAAACATATGCATGCTTCATCTGTGAGAGTGAGACTGTTAATTTTCTTTTGTTTTTCTTTTTTTAAGTGAGTTGAGACTGGTAATTTTCTAAGATCCAATGTATTATTGTTAAGGTGAAAAAATGTATTATCGTTGAGGTGATTGCTACGTGTTAACCAAGCTGGGCTTAACTCGTCAATCAATGCGTCCCTTTGTGCACATTCAATGCCGAATGAACCCCTTCCTGCAATCCTACTTCTTCATTGAGACCGTGTGTTGCCTCCCACAGTGCTTAGCGCACAATTGTTTCAACGAGACTTGAAACTTGAGCAGCCTTTTCTAAGAGAATAATTGGAACAATAATGGTGGCTACGATTACGAAAAAAACGTATTAATGACAAGAGAGCCAATAAGCAATCTTAAAAGAGCACAATGGACCCATGTTCCCCTTTGGGGATTATTGTTACCAATGGTGGAATTCTTATTTTTGCCAAAGCTGTCGTTCCATCGACATTAGTGATAAGATACCTTCCATTAGGAAGGTGTGGCCTTCTCTGCCAACACATACCCAACAGATGATTGTAGGTCCAATATGCTTCGGCGGAGCCGAAGGGCTCGAAATAAGACTTGGAAGTCGTTGAAATGATTTGGCTATCATTCCTTCTGCAAGATTCTCTATGACTCCTCTCTCTCTCTCTATATATATATATATACACATATTTTGTGCTATCTTCCTTCTGCTCTCTCTGTTCATCATATTCCCATATCTGTGACCTTTTATCTGCTGGTAGAGTCGAGTAAGCTCTGTATCTGTTGATATATCCAGAGCTGACTATTTATTGTTACTGTGTTATATTTAGCGTTCTTTAACATGACAGATTGTTGACACTTTTTGGCACAAATAAGAAGAATTTGAGGATGCCGGAACGAAATTTCCATCATTACGCATTTCTGCAAATATACAGGACACATCTTCTTGTAGTTCAGTTGTCCGCATATGTGGCGCCTAACCTTGGGGGTTAGGGAGTCTGAGAGCCGCTCGGGTGAGCTGAACACGCGATCCTCATGGTACTGCTGGATTTGACATGTTTGCCTTCCAG